CATGCAAATGACCTCAACTAAGCTTCTCTTGAACCTGAATGATGTTTACCATGCCTTGATAATCATCCAAGCTTCGATTTGCTTGTTGTATGTTGCTTTCAACCCAGATCTGCTCAATAAGGCCATTTAAAGCTTCACGCATCTTCTTAGCCCTAGCTCGCGTGACTGGACCTCCTTGGCTGTGTAACGGATCACATGACGTAGTAGATATGTTGTTGTCTTGATTCCCATCACTTTCACAAGTGTACGGTGTTTGTTACGCCTCTGATTTGGGTTCTAGGGCGTGACACATGGTATGACCAATAGGATTTTGGGGATAACACACATATATATATAAATGCATGCATGTGTGATGAGAGATTAAAATTGCATGTAGAATGTCCTAAAGTTTTTAGAAACAAAATAAAAAATAAAAAAATGTTACCATACAAAACCGTAATCTTTTTTTTTTTTTAATCTTCATACAAAACCGGATTCTTTGTTAAACATTAATTCACAAATCTTATTTGGGTAATAAAGAATAAATGAATAATGGATTCCTAGTCCCATCATGCAATGTCATGCAAGTAGTATATATAAAAGTAGACTGCATGCATCCGAATATATGTTAATTTTCATTTGGCGTTGATATATGTAATCGTTGAGGATAATTAAGATTTTACCAAAAAATACATACCTAACGATACAACAAAATTATTATTAATTTCTACTTGCTTAGTTACATATGACCGACATGTTTCAATTTTTTGTTTTGCATATTGAATCGCTTCAAAATTATTGTTCTTTGAACATTCTTATCCATCTCTACTTCATGTTATTATAGTACTTTGGTTACAAAATCATTAAAAATGATAATTAGTGAATTTATTGAAGGAATACCAATAAAAAAATATAATCAAAATATGTGTGAAAAACTTAGTTATTGTAAGGCAATTTATGCCTATACGGAAAATAGATCTATTAGTGTAGCAAAAGTATATTAACATGTCGTATTGGGGTGCTACAAGTATATATTTATAATCTTACCTACTTTTTTTCACATGGTGTCTTATCTAAATATGTAAAATTATTATTTTAATTAATTTTATTTAATTTTTTCATATTTTTTTATTAATTTTAATTAGTATTTTATATATTTTTGAAATAGTAAAAGACAAAAAATACTTGTAGCAACCACACAACATAGCACAAGAAAACAAAGCCTAAGATTTTAAGCTTCAATTATGGTGTATCATTAAATAAGTCAATTCATACAATATCACAAGTGGTTTTGAATAAAATATGCAATCATATCATTGTAATTATATTATTTTCAAAACATTTTATTAAATAAAATTAATGTTTATTAGTTAGATCTCTAAAAAATAAAGATAGAAAACGCTTTAAAACCATTAAAGTAATGCATGAAAAGACGAAAATAATCTCTCATTCTTGCTTTAAAATAAGTGGATCCATGAATAAAGCTTAGTGTGTGAATGAAGTTTAGTGGATCATTGAACGTGGTTAGACATTGGTGAAAGTAAAAATATCCATTGTTAAAATACAAAATTTATAATACCTTATTGTTGAAGATGGTCCTATTAATTTCAAATTCAAGTGCAAGTTAGTCACTATGTTTATCATTTTTGCCCTTCTAAATATAGAGAGTTTTTTCTTTTGGGTACAGACGATGATAGCTTATAAAAGAAGGTATAGCCCTCTTCTCCCTATTTGACTAAGGGATTATTTGAAATAGCAGTTTGAAATTACTGGTTAGTGATTTCTTCTAATCTTATAGTTAATAATTATTATTATTAATTAATAATAATTCAAACACTTATTTTCATCAGATTAGATGAAACCCCATTAATTATTAATTTTAAACTCCTATACCAAAAAATCTCTAAAAGTTTATATTCAAAATTTATAAATTAGAGTATAAGTTTTAATGAGTAGAGCCAGCCTCTTCGGTCCAAATTTGGTTCTAAGAATTCTCCAAGATGCTCTAAAAATTTCTTTAAAAGGTTTAATAACCATTTTGAGCCCTTAAACTTTGAGTTTTGAACCAAGCTGGTACTTAAACTTCAAAAACTACTAAAATCATCCTTAAACTTTGATTTTCCAATACCTACATCATCATTCTATCAACGAAATTGCTAGTCGTCATGTTAATTTGTTATGAATACACAATATTTAAGTTAGATAATGACATGGAAACAAAAATATGTATTGATATGTGGAATCATATCAAAATCTATGTTAGCCTATTTTGTTCCATTTTAATCTTTACATGGCTAGTTGGACCTATTCTCCTTAAACATATATTAATATAATTCTTGTTGGCTCAAATACTTTAAGAGAGGACTGAATTGGAGTTTTCAAAATTTTTTTCTTTTTATCAACCATCGAATGAAAAATATAGAAAGGAAGAAAAACTTGCATAATCGATTTTATAGGGATTCAACCTTTACTACTAAAAAAAGGAGTAATTCAAACCGACCATATCGGACCGAATAATGTCGGTCGGTCCGTATAAATATAAATTCAGACCAATATCAGTCCGAACATATTAATGTGGTACCATATTCATCAATCAACCTATTCAGACTGTTTTCGTTTTCGGTTTGTATATTTATGGTAGGAATTAATAGTGCAAACGCGTCAATACTATTCGATCGAAAACGATCCGAATATTTTTTCGTAAAAATAAATATTAAATAACAAAAAAAATTAAGAATTAAATATTATTTAAATGAATATATACGGACTGGCTTCGGTCTGTATATATAAAACAGAAAATGCCTACATTCATTTAATATTTGGATCGGTTTTGGTTTGAATATTTATAAATATTCAAACCGAAGATGGTCCAAATAGTTTTTTGTAAAAAATAAATAATAAATAAGAAAAACTAGAAATAATATATTATTCAAATAACGATATACGGACCAAAATCGGTCCGTATATATCATTTGCAATGTCCCGAGATTCATTAAATTCACAGACCGTTACCAATCTAAATAGTGATTTATATTCACACCGAAATCAATCTGAAAATAGACGTCAGACATTCCCTGAACCGATGAGACGTTGGGTCCCACTATCATACCTATACGGACCGAGATCGGTTCATATAATGTCCCCTACGCCCTTCATCCTCACAGCGCCCGTCCCCTCCCCTTTTGCATTGCATCTGCGATTTTCCTTTGTTTTTTCTTCCTTTTTTCTTCGTATGTACTGCAAGCTTCTCCTCCTCCAATCTCTGGCCAACCACAGAGGCAGAGAATGTTTTCCCCACTGGTTAGTGGTCGGCAATCTCGCTTGTGTATTTTTTTTTTTTCACAGCCTAACAAATTTTTTTCGACAGCCTATGATTTGTATTTTTTTTTTTTTTTT